ACTCTCTGTTGGTGTTTTTTTTTTTTTCAATATCGAGCCTCTTATGATTTGTTACATAGTTGAAGTAGTTCTAGAGCATTTGTGTCTACTCTTAGTCTATCTGAAGTGTCACTTTAAAAGCTGTAGTTTGAATGTCAAAGAAGTTAATTTCCAGGTGGCTGTTGACAAACTTATTGTTCATTTTTAATTTTTTTTTTTTCAAAACAACACAGTAAGTTTTTCTTTATTATTGCGTTGATGTGTATGCATTTGGCAAAGCTAACATCTGCCTTATCCTCTTGCCTTTTCAAAATCAAAAGTGATGATACCTGTGACAGTAATACAGTACGAAATGTGCACATCAACATGTGCATCCTACAAATTAAAACTTGTTGTTTTTTTGATACACTGTGGTTAAATTCGTAATAATAGCTCCGTAGTCCTGTGGTTTTAGCAGCATTTTTTTTGTTTGGCCGATTTTTTTTTTTTTTTTTGCCCTCTCGCATTAGTTTTGGGGTATTCAAGAGGATGTCATCCATAAAATTAAATCAGTGTGGCCTTATCTCGAATAAATTGTACAAAAGTAGGGGTGGTGCCAAGTTAGTCAAATATGTTTTTTTTTTGTCATAACTTAAAATATGGTAATGCACTTTGAATTATTTTAATATACAATAATTCATCATCAAATTATGTGTGCATATGTATTGAAATGTTGTCTGTGCTAAAATGAATTCGTTTAATGGCTTGATTTCTTCATTCACTATATTTAAAATGGAATGTTTTAAACAATTGTTTATAGATTCCTGCCTTTGAATTAGTAGTGTTGCACTCTTACTCTATATGTTCCTTGCCAGTCTATTTAATTAAAATTTTAACATTTTATTTCATGTAGAATCTACCACCAAATAAAACCCTGTAGTAGTATTTACAAATTTTATAGCATTTGTTTGTTTCTCATTAACATATGTGTGAACATAAAGTTTGTAAGGGTATTCCAGCCAAAATAAAACCCTGTGTGAACATAAAGTTTGTAAGGGTATTCCAGCCAAAATAAAACCCTGTGTGAACATAAAGTTTGTAAGGGTATTCCAGCCAAAATAAATTCCACTGAACAATTTTTACTATTATGAAAAATCAGAGAAAAAGGCAATTCCAAACGGCAACTTATTTAAAATGTTTTCCAGTTAAAATTAATTTCTGTCGAGATAAATGTTATGCAATTCAGCCTATACTTGAACTACTGAAGTCAAAAGATTTGTCTTATGAGATGGGGTGATAGGAATAAATATACCATTGCTGGCTGCTTACTTCAATTCAATTAGGATACATGTCAAATTTCATAAGCAGTATTTTAGGCTGTGCTAATCAATTTAACTACATTTTATCTTGTCAGCAACTGGAAACTGATAACCATGATGATTCATCTAGGAATGCTGATCCAGACGTTTCAGGTTAGTGCCTCATTTGCTTATCCCAAGGTGTGAAATCTTACCTGAAATTTCTGAGATCCAACCCAGGTTTTTGTAAGCACCACAGTCTTTGCATGTAAACAATTTTGTATTTTTTTGGTACCCATATAGCACAACACAATGGGACTGGTGGAATTTTAATATTGTAATATTAACTGGAAAACTTAACTACCTATTCAATTATATTATTGAAGCAGTGAAGGAAAGGAAGCATAGAGGAATGTCACACATTAATATCAGTTTGATTCAAACTTTACCAGTTGATCTTGCACAGATATGCAAATGATGAACAACCTTTGTATGCACATATTCAATTCATATGGATTTTCTACATAATTTAAATTGCAGCTTATTCCCCATCTACCGATATTTCTTTGTCTGCACAATTCCTGTCAGCATGAGATTTAAATACAGTCAAAAAGGGAAAGGAACTGATCAAAAGTACTTAATTGTTGACATGATGTACAACTGCATTACCTTTGCTGAAATGTACCCTATCATTTTAAATTCATGATTAATTAATTTTTGATCTTACCATGATTATTGTATCCTGTTTCAGCTGAAAAAGATGTGATGGCTGATTTGTATGATATATTTTACTGTTCTCTATGTGAGCATTTTTCTGATGATGTATCCGCTGCTGAAGCACATTTCAAGACTGACAGTCATATAAGAAATTATAAGGTAATCAGATATTACACAATAAATGTTTTGTCTTGTACAGGGACGATATGGTCATGTAATAATAGGATAATAATTAACACATTGGATTAGTTTTGGGTTGTAAATATTAATTTTCTAATTTGCATAATTGTCACAATTTTAAGCTGTTCCACTGATATCTCAATAAACACTTAAGAAAATTCAATATTTGGTACATATGTTCTTTGATTATGTGAATACCTCGAAAACGGGGACTTATGTTTTGACCTCCGTGTGTGCGTGCGTCTGTACGTGCGTCCAAACCTGTATCTTAGAAATGCCTGGACCAATCACAATCAAACTTCACACATACATCATACATGATATTATACATATGCACGTCAATTTGTTTCTTTATCTGATTCAAGATGGCCGAATGGCGGCCATTTTTGTGCTAAAAATCATCAAAGTCAAGCATTTTTCGGCTGTTTACAGATGGATTTTGTTCAAACTTGGTATATACATTAGACATTATCGGACCTTGATGCACATCATTTTTAGTCCCCGTTCGGACGCAGTCCGAAAACGGGGACTTATGTTTTGCCCTGTGTGCGTCCGTCCGTCCGTGCGTCCGTGATCACCTGTATCTCGAACATGCATGGACCGATTAAGTTCAAACTTCACTCATACATCACACATTATATGGGACATATGCACATGCATTTTTTTCATGATCCGATTAACGATAGCCGAATAGCGGCCATTTTAAGCCGAAAATGCATCAAAATCGCACATTTTCACCATTCCGGACCCGGATCTCAGTTATGCATGGACGGATTTGTTCAATTTGGTACATACATTAAACATAATAGACCTTGATGCACGTCATTTTTTTTTTGGATCGGGTTCGAAA